GATGAATAATTTATTTTATTTATTCCTTTTTAAATTTACTTATTAATTATTGTTTATTAATCATGTATATAATGTTCTGCCTGCATGTACGCCTGCATGCCAGAAGAGGGCTCCAGATCTCATCCTAAATGGTTGTGAGCCATCATGTGGTTGATGGGAATTGAACTCAGGTCCTCTGGAAGGGCAGCCACTGCTCTTAACCTCAGAGCCATCTCTCCAGTCCCAAATAATTTAAATATTAACAAGCTGAAAAACTGAAGTAAAATGATGGTAAAAGATATCATGCAAGTGCAAAAAATAAATCCTCACACACAACCCAAAAGACTAAAGAGCCAAAGAGAAAGAGCAAAAACAACCAACTCCATGTTTCCTAACTACAACGAAAAAAAGAAAAGATCACTAGTAATTTCCAAATATTTGGACACTAAATAACACACATTTAAATAACTCACGAATTAAAAACGAAACTCAAGGGAAATTATGAGGTGTTGTGAATTGAAAGAAAACAAAGAAACAATGTATTGGATTTGTGGGGGTGCAGAGCATTAAAATGTCAGAATAGAAAAGGTCTCAAGTCAAGAGTTCCCATTCATACTTTCAGGGGAGAAAGTAAAGATCAAAAATAACAAAATACCTAACCCTGTACACAAAATTACAGAAAGACAATGAAAACAATGTGACTTAAGGCAACCCACAGGTGCCCTACTAAACTCATCCAAATAAACAGAAAGCCAGGCTTAAAAACGAGATAGACCTTAAATGTCTACAGGAAATACGAACAATTTCACACAAATTCATCAACTTAAAAAGAATCACACAACAGCTTATTTTAAAACGCCAGGAGTAACCCTAAGTCTACTTGTTAATACGGAATTTGTAATTAAAAAACAATTCCAGGGTCAATGAGATGGTTCAGGTGATAAAGGCACCTGGGGACCTAAATTTAATCCCCAGGCCCCATAGTGGAAGAACAGAGTCCCTCAAGTTGTCCTCCAACCTACACACACACACACACACACACACACACACATCAATGTAACTGTAAAGTAACATTTCAGGCTCAAACTGGCTTCACTGTGGAATTACCCTTAACAATGTAGTACAAATGTCCTCAAAAAAATTAAAGATGAGGGAACACTTTTAACTTATGCAATTAGATTAGCATGATCCTTTCACCAAAATGAGAAGGCCTGGCCAATTTAAAGAAGGTTAATTAAGTAGCCACATACACTGAAATAACTCGGAGTCAGACCAATTAGGAGTTTACAAAAACAGATTAAAATGAAAAGGACTTAACTCCAATACTGTAAATTACCTTCCTGCCAGAGGAATTTATCCTACGTGTCTACAATCATTCCTGATAAAGGGCCTGTCGAGATACTTAGGAGGCGGGGGTGAGGGGCATGGATTGGGCAGTAGTGTAGGCAACGGGAGTGCAAATCCAGCCAGGCGACACAAGACTCAAGTCTCTAAAACAACAGTAACCAGGACCTTTCGGAGGAAACTGGAATTGACTTAGCAAAGGTTTATGAGGGCAGTGTCAAGTTGGAAGTTAAAATGGACAGTGGTACTGGAGAACTGACGAGTAAGCTATCTAGTCTTACAATATTCAGTGAGCTGTGTCAAAATATTTGAAGACTGGAGCCCCGGGGAGGAAAAATAGGAGAGGTCATGCCTATGTAACTTCACTTCCGACTTCCAGTGAGCATATTGTGGCTAATCCATTAAACACACACATACTCTAAGAGAACTAGCTAGCCATTTACATTTAGGCTGGCTTTCCCAATGTTTAAAAAAAAAATGTATTATAAAAAGCATATTATACTACTATAATTATACTTTTAATCCAGTGTCTGTCAGAAGTGGCCACTCCACCTTGGCATCACTGTATGAAGTCCAATGAGAAGAACCACATACTGCAGTCTACATCTGCTACCACAGTTTCCTAGAAAGCCTCTCCAGCCCCTGCCCATGCCACACAACCCTCTGGAAAACCAAAATGGCAAGTTTTCTCTGAGAGGGCAGTTAAGGCAAGGGCCTCACTCACCACAGATGGGCCGGCCAAGCCACGAGGTCATACTAAATCCTGAATGGACCCGGCTGGAAGTCTATTATAGCACCCACTGTGCACACACACCATGGCACACTGGATCAGAGAACGACTTTGGGAAGTCAGGTCTCTCCTTCTACCACATGGGTCCTGGTGACCAAATCCAGTATGTCGGCACATACTTTTACCTGCTGGATCACCTTACCAGCCCTAGTTAATTTATTTTTAAGGAGGCAACTTGGACTAACTGGTTAATCTCACTTCAAAGGCCACCCTCAGCACACAATTCACTGGCCTCAAGAACTGTAGTTCCCAAAATTAAAGAAAGCATTTCACTTGCTATTAAGACATGGTGGCAGTGATCACTACACAAAAACCCCCAGGAAGCTGATGCCATGAACAAATGGGACTTTGAGCAGCTATCACTTAGAATGCCACCAAATGCTTGATATGGAACGCCTCAATTATATTTACCTGTAAGACAGGACTGCATGATATGCAGAAACCTGTCTGGGTGGTCATCTCTGAAGCCCAGAGGAGCAAATCACATTTCAGTCATAAAAACAAGCTGTGAGATGCAAATATCTGACCCAGAAGATGAAATTACTACTCAACAGTGGATTTCAAGATTTTCATTTTATTAAAAATATGGCAACATAATAGCAGCAGCATTTGATAGCTCTTTACTAGTACGATGTGAAAGTAGTCCTACTCACACACACCTAGGCAGTATCTTTATGCTTACATTAACTTTTCCCTTGGTGATCTATAGCATTGTTCTATTAAATTACTTGAGACCAAGAGGGTATTTTTAACTACTAAATTGACCTATACAGTTACCCAGTCTATTTAATCTTGTATGGAAACCAGTCCTCTGCATTATCCCTCAATCATGTGTTGCCCACTGGTACCATGTACCAGTAGAATTCTACAGTTCTCAGTGAGTTTGATGAGTCTGATCTTACATAGTCAGGATTGTCTCTGTCAGCAAATAAAAGTAAATCAAGAATACAAAGACCACTACCCCGTTTTTGATCCTAGAATTTAAATGTCAGTATCTCCCAAATTGGCAGTTTTCCAAATTAAATGTTAGTTGCCTATAAACTTAAATATCATGCTACAGATTTTAAAAAAAAATCTACCTTTAAAATATTGTTATGCATTGGACTGCAGTTCAATGACAGAACACTTTGAAGCCCTGGGTTTAATCCCCAACACCAAGAAAGAAAAAATTATAAACAAATAAATTCCAGAAACTACAAAAGTATCTTAGCCCAGATTGTAACTGGTAAATTTAGTAATTGTAAAATTACTAAATCTAACCTAATTATAGACCAGAAGTCATAAATGGCTTTAGTCTTTAATCTTCTAATTATATATCACTGCTCAGGTGAAACAGCATTAAGGGTACAATAAAAGACAAAAGGAATTAAAGGCTGACCTACAAACTAAGTAGAAAACAAGTTTTATTTTAAAAGATTATTTTGTTACATTTATATCAGGCTCCTGCTTCCAGAAATAGGATGAAGCCCTTGGAGAGCACTAAATCTAGAATCCAAAAATAATTTAAGTGACTATTAGTGAGTAAACATGAGAAAGCATTAAGGTGGGAAAACATATAAATACATAATGAATAGGCATTGCATCTCTCCATCGTGGGGATGGCTCAGCTTCATAATCCACTCAGTTAAATCCTCTTTTCAATGACTCACAGATGCTCCCTTACCAATGCATCCCTTCAAAAGGACTGACACTAGCTGCCAACTCCACTAACATGAAGTGAAATCATACTCCATCTGTAACGCACTGTAAATTGAAAATAGTTTAAAGCCTATTAGTGAGCTTCATAACCCTTAAAATTAAATAATCTCATAGGTCAAGGCAGGTGTAGATAAAAGGTTGAATCTTTTTTAAATTTGAAAATAAGATAGCAACACAAAGGAACAATATTAGTATCTTAAAAGGAACTTTTCTTGACCAAAAAAATAATAAACCATCTTGATTATAAACATTGGTTTTTATTTGTAACTGAGTATACCAAAATTTAAGCCTCTAACATAAAGATAAATATATAAGCAGCACTGAATCTGTTCAAAAAAAAATTCTAAACATGGAGATTACAGGCCAAGTAGTGTTTTCAGTCTAAATCAACTAGATTAAATTGGGAACAGCGACTATGGCAACAGTCCCAGAAGTTAAGGACCTGCTGCGGTCTACCTGCAAAGCCACCAGGTCAGTGCCTGTAACAGCTCAGTGTGCACACGAAGCCATCCATCAACAGTGTCAGATCCTGTCCAGGGGGAGGCAAAGAGCCACCGCACTGGCAGTCAGTGGGAGGGTTCGTCCCATCCTACCTCAGGTTTCCCTGACAGGATCTTGAGTGACAAAGATTTTTTTGGTTGTTTTGTTTTGTTTTTCAAGGCAGGGTTTGGTTTCTCTTTGTAGCCCTGTGTCCAGGAACTCACTCAGTAGACCAAGCTGGCCTCAAACTCAGAGATCTGCCTGGCTCTGCTTCCCGAGTGCTGGGATTAAAGGCGTGCGCCACCACTGCCCGGCTGACAAAAAAAATTCTTGAAAGAAATACAGTACCTTATTAGAGAACAGCAAAGGAAACCAAAGAACATGTGTGGCTGTCCCTATGTGCCTCACAACACATACACCAATCCCACAGCATCTGACTTGACTTTCTCGGGTAATCCCAACTCGTTCTGAATTTGTAAAACGTTTTTCTACATTAATGGTTATTTGAGCAAAATAAATACCTGCATGAAAAGTAATCAGCGGTAGGAGTAAATGTTCATTTCCACCATGAGAACATTTGAATTGTGCAGAGGACAGGAAAACACCTCATCTTACACGGGGCTGTTGCAGAGACATTGCACAAGGCTGCTTTGGCTATGTCAAAACCCTCCGTGGGCCAAACAAAATGAGAGCAGGATGAAACTGAAGACTCTTTCCTCTAAAATACTGAACTTTATTAGAGAAATGGTACTAAAAAATAACAAAGATTCAAACATTTGCTCTAGTCTACTTACATATCATAAATAAGACAGCGGTTGAAGCGAGACACACTCCTTCACAATCTTTCCACAGGTGCCCAAGCATTTCTGTATCAGAATAAGCTGTTACTAGCCAACCGTATGTGGCTAAAAGATTAAAACGGCCATCTATACTTTACATAGTAAAGTATTTTCCAAAAGTTTAATGTACACAGTGACCAAAAAAACAAAAACAAAAACAAAAAAAACCAAAAAACACACACACATACACACAGTAATTTGAACACCTGAAGATGATTAAGCAGCTTCATAATCGAACCAGGCTTTATGACTTACAGAACGGGCCTTTCTACTCTTCAAATTATAGTTTCAACAGTATTAATATGAAAACAAGATTCAAGCTGGAACCAAGTAACTAAAGTACTACTTGACTTTTTAAATCTGTGACAGCAATCCTTCCCATGAGGTAAGGCAACTGAGTAATGTGATTGTATTAGGTTGTCTTAAATAAAATTAAAATTGATTTTTAAATAAGATTTGTGAATTAAGGGTTTTGTTTTTTGTTTTTGTTTTTTGGAAATGTAACAATAATGAATAGTGCATTCACTAGAATTTAGAGTTTTACAGAAAACATTAAGTTCTCATTTTACTACTTGCATACCGTCTATGAAAAGCTGAGCCTAAGATCAGTGAATGACCGTGTGCCTTAAACTCGCATAAGCGTATCATTAAACACAAAACCACCTCTGTACGCCCCAGTCCTTCCTTAAGTATAATTTCTGTATCATTAGAAGAATATGATTGCGAGGTAATATTAAGGCCATCCAATGAAGTCAACTAACAGGTTTCCTCTGATTTGAAGTAAGAGTATGTCTCCTTTTCAATCATCACAGTATAAAACTGGTGGTCCCAAAACTACATTGTTGTTTGAAACTCCACAAGTCTTGTAAACAGGACTTCCTTCTCTTAACTGACTTAAGAAGCGCTTCTGACCCACCCCTCGCACACTTCCCAACAGTTGGGAACAGAATACAGCCATCTGGATTCCATATGGACTGAGAATGACTAGCACATATAAAATCCTAGAAAACAGTATACCACACATTGTAGAAGGCACTAAAGCTTCAGCCTGTGCTCCCATAGCCCATTTGGAAAACTCAGTTTCTTTTTTATAAGGGCATCTTTGCCACCTACAGCCGACAAGACACACTGCAATATTATTCATGAGCTTGGAAATGTCAAGAAAGTTCAAGAAGAAATGCTCATTTCGTGGCAGACACAATGATTCTCAACACTGAATACCAACATGGTGTTAGTAGTATTCGACACAGCTGCTCTTCTTTGGAAAGAGAACAGGAGCATGCACTGTCAGTTGGTTTGTAATCCACTTATTTAAGCAATTTTAATCTGTAAAACTGGTTTAAAGGAAAACGATGTCCAAAACAGTGAGCAAAAGAAAACACAATAGTGAGAATTTACCATAATCACTGTTAAGTCCTGTGAAGTAAATGTTAAAACTTCTTACATACTTTGCACTTTACAAGAGTGTGTGTATATATCTGCACAAATTTCAAGCACATCATCAAACTGTATATATTGAAAATTTTTCTTAAAAAAGTAAAACAATACAAAATTCAGTAACTAGCATTTTCTTTAAGAGCCTCCAATGCTCATCTCCAGTCTTTAGGGATAGTTCAATTCTGGATCTGTGACATTCAATTTATTTGCAATGCTTCTTGGCAACCACTAATGACCATATGACAAGTGTGCCAGCCACCGTGGAAATGCACAGACTTCAGAAGATGGTGAATTCGGGTAACATCTGATTATTTCATGATGTCCATGCTCAGTAACAAGATGTCCACAATGTCACCTCATAGCCGGAAAAGCTGTTAGTTCCCACATGTGGGTTTCTTCCCCGTTTACACCTTGTTGCGAACTGAAAGCTTTGGGTTTGATCCCACCGTGGAGGGAGAGACACAGCAAGGGGTGATCCTACACCACATCGGCTTTGCTGCAGAGGCTCTCTTCATTTGGTTGGCAATTCCCATTCTGCTGTACTGGGTTTTCTTCCTCAGTCCTTGGTGAGTCCTTCTCCTCTGCATCTTTGCTCACACTTGGATCTGCCTCTTTACTGTGTTCCTTCTACAACAAACAGCAAGTGCATGCTCATTACTTTGCACAAGAATTGTCTGTAATTATATATGGCTAAATGATGTAACTCTGTCCTTTGTGAATATTTTTTGTGAAAAACTGTATTGTTTTCTTTCATGAAAATCCATGCAAGCACATGGATCCATTTGCTCTGTGTAAGTTATTTCCAACAAAAGACAGGCAACTCATGGTAACAAAATCAAAATACAACAGGAAAACAGAAATTTTAGCTCTTCAAAAACAGCCTTGTAAAACTCCCAAAAAACCAAACAGCTTTCCAAAACACAAGAAATAAATGTGAGTATGTACAAAAGGAAGCCCCTGTTCCTCTTAGGAAAGCCTTCAAAGGTAGTCCAAATTCTGCCCCCAGCCTAAGGGAGAATTACGTGAGAATAAAGAACGCTTAACAAGTAATACATGCTTAATAAATAATGCCAATGTCACTGATGATGATGACAAACTTCCATCAGTATCAAAGTAACTCCAGAACCTGTATCTCCAAATAGAATTATACAAGGTAGTAAAGAGAAGGGACATAATTCACAAGTACTTACAATTTTCAAGAAAAAGCTTAATTAGGAAGTTTTAGTTTTCAATTCTGTATTGGTTAAGGAATTTGGTTTTCAATTATGTATTGCACGTGAACAAATCTAATTTTAACTATCTATTACAAAACCAATGACAACCAAGTCTCACCAAATGTGCTCAAATGTATGCTGAGGAAAACAGCATCAGACACAATCAAAAACCTATCAAATACACTTGTTACCCAGAAGTTCTCTACAATTTTCTCCTTCTACGTTATTTACTGATTCTCCAAAGAAGGACCTGAGCTGATTGCATGTTAACAGGTTCTCATCTTTTCAATGTGATCTATATGAATGGCAGCAGTGTCCTGTGGCCTGGTGCCCTTCTGCACCCAGACCCTGGCTGAGCAGCTCACCTTAACTGGTGTGTTGGTCTTCTCCACCTTTTCCTTCCCGTCTCGATCATTAGAACTCTTTTTTGTGGACGTGGAACGTTCTCTTTCTCTCCTGTCACCGATGTGGTCCCGTTCTTTTTCTCTCTTTTTATCTTTCTTATTTCGGCTATGTTGAAAATATAGAAATTATCTTTCAAGAATTTAAAGACCTACTGTACTCTTGAAAACAGTCCTTATCTAACACATGCTATCAAAACAATGCATTGTAGGGGTTGGGGATTTAGCTCAGTGGTAGAGCGCTTGCCTAGCAAGCTCAAGGCCCTAGGTTCGATCCTCAGCTCCAAAAAAAAAAAAAAAAAACAAGAAAAGAAAAGAATCACACTGGTAAACTGGACTAGTAAAGTGACAAAGCCAGGGCCTACAACTTGCCCTAGTCCACCTTTTGCTTCGGTCAGTGTTCAGGTCGCTTCTACAGCAGCCACCAATGTGTTCCTATAAGACACAACTTAGTATTGTCAATTTAACACTGTTTAAATGCTCAAGACACACTTACTGGAATAAGGGTGAGATTAAAAACCAACTACAGTCAGCCTATACTGTAATGATTCCTTATCCATAGATTCACCCAACCACCAATCAAAACTATGTAGGAAAAAGCTGCATCTGAACTAAACACAAACGGTCTTTTCTGGTAATGGGAACCTTTCCACTGAATCCCTAACCCCTACAGACTTTTTTTTTCTTTTCATAATTCTCTGAATATACTATATACTATTGTATATTTTCCTATGCACCTTCTCAACTTAATATACTGAACATTCAAGAGGGAATAAAAGGGGACCAGTGAGATGGCTTAGCTGACATCAACCATAATGGCCTGAGTCTGAGCCCCAGGACCTACACAATAGGAGAGAATCAACTCCCCAAGTTATCTTCTCACTCCTACATTCACACAAAATAGACAAAAAACAGAGAATAAAAAGAACAGAGAATGAGGATTCCAGCAATATTTAGAATTTCAAATAACTTACTATGTCCCTTGCCCACCTCATCTACTATTAGAAACCAGAACCACCAATTCAAGTGCAAACCTAAAACCCACAAAAACCCACAGAACACCACACTACCTAAAAAAAAAATCGCAAACCCCAAGATTACAGAGGGAAAATTCGGCACATCATTTGAGAAGCAGAGTGCTCTGATCTAGCTGAGATAGCTCTAATACAGAACTATGAGCAGTCCCCTGTTAGTAGCTTAAAAATAGATACAAGACTAATGGAACAAATGAAGACAACTAGGAAGCAGATCCAAAAGCAAATGAAAATCTGTTACAATAAATGTAACAAAATAAAACAATTCATATACTAACCACCATAACACAGTAATGAAAGAACTCCCAGAAGGCAAGACGTGAATACCATTAAGAACACCAGCAAAAGCAATACAGACTCAAGGCAATTCCTACAAAAACCATTAACAGCATTAGCAGCAGATACAGGAAAAATCTGTCCTAAAACTCGTAGGACATCTTGAAGGCTCTCCATATAGCCAAAATGTCCTTTTAAAAAGGAACACAGCTGAGGCCTGAGAGCCAGCACAGTTGTTACGAGCACTCACTCGGTGCTCTCCGAGACCCTGGTTTGGTTTCCAGCACTCACATGGCAGTTCACAACCTCCAGTTCCAGGGAAGCTGACATCCTCTTCCCGCCTCCACGGCAGGCTCCTGCATACAGGTTGTGAACATACATACACTCAAGCACACACACACAAAGTAAATGAATATATAAATATTTTTAAAGCAAAAGAAAAAACAGGGGTAGGTGACATAATTTCTGATTTCAAAATGACTACAAAACGGCATTAACTGAAAACATGGTACTAGCTAAGGACAAACATATAGGTCTATGGAAAGCCTGGAATCAACTCTTGCATACCAGATCAAATGATTTCAAAGACAGGAAAATGGATGTTTTCAACCGTGGTGCCGGGGAAATTTGAAATTCACATGCCAAAGAAGGAAGTTGAAATCCTACCTCCAACCATATATAAAAATTACCTCATGAAAGGGCTCAAAGCAACAGCAAGTGTTTTGTGACCTGAACCATGAGTCTGATTTCTGGAACTCATAAACAAGTAGGAGGGAATTAATTTCACAATGATGCCCTTCAACTTCCACACACATGCTGTGACACATGCATGCCCCTTCATGTACATCACACACAATAATAAAGAAAATTTAAAAAGCAAAAATAGATCAAAAACAGATCATCACCCCAAGTTTTCAATTAGTCTGGTCTACTGGTATATGAACACCAATGAGTCCTGGAAACAGTCATTGAGCATACAAACACACAAGGGTATGCTATCCTTTGGGTGAAGAAATAAAAAGTTGGAAACAGACAAAAGCTGGACCTAACAAAGAGCGGGAGGAAGGCACTGTCACAGAACCAGTCCCAGCATCATAAAAAGAAAGGAGGACATTCTCTCTCACCATACAGAGACATTTATTTCTCAGTTAAGAGTGGCAGAAAAGCACAGCCCCTACCTATTTCACACTACTTTATGTCTAAGGAAAAAATGGTCCATTTCCATCTTGTAACTAGGAAAGGGGAGAGGAGGCAATTCCTGAATGGACAGGGTGGATGAGCACATGGGTGGAAGCTGATGCTTCTGAACACTAACGTCTTACATCAATTCTGAAGAATACAAAGATATTAGCCATTCGAAAACCAAAACTTGAAAACAGATTAAAGAAGAAGTGCTTTCCCACTTCCTGCTCCTCTTTATGTTTCACCAGATTCCACCTACCCCCTGGGAGATGGAGACCTGGAAGACTTCCTTTTTATAGTCTTTGATGTTCTTGGAGATCTGGAGGAACTCCTGCTCCTTCGCCGCCGCCTTTCCCTGAAAGACAAAACATGTCACTTTCTAAAATCAGCAACTGAAATAAAGGACAGTTCAAATTCTAAGCTAAAGGGTCCCCAATTGAGTGAGAGCACCTCTCTGAGACTAGTTTGATTAGTTTCTCTTCGTAATGTTTTCAGACACTGATTCCAGCCTCAGGTCCCTTAGTGCTGACACTGTAGGCTGCTTATACCACCAGCTTAGCTAGCTTTTATTTATTGGGAGAGGGCTTAAAGGAACCCTTGGGTCAAATCCAGACCCTCCCACATGACAGACAAATGCTTTGTCACCAAGCCACTCTCCTAACCCCTTAAGAGCCGATTAAACTCTTTCTAGAAGCATGTTTTATTACCCGACTTTAGTGAAGATCAAATTATAAACCATACATTTTATCACTGACAAAACCACCATCTAAAATTTCATGAGAAAATATAGAACAATCTCCTTTTCATTTGACATACTTTAAATGCTTTTTAATTCTTTAACTTAGTATACAAAGTGATGGGTTTCACCAGATGTTTCAGATCCAAGTGTCTTCTCTCTTAGCAACTAAAGTCTTTCCCATCCTTCACTGCATCTCTGGCTCCTCCTCCTTTCTGCCCCACTGAAAAGATTTTCTAACAAAGTAACAAAGTACCTGGGCGGTGGTGGCGCATGCCTTTAATCCCAGCACTGGGAGGCAGAGGCAGGCGGATCTCTGTGAGTTCGAGGCTACCCTGGTCTATAAAGCGAGTTCCAGGAAAGGCGCAAAGCTACATAGAAAAACCCTGTCTCGAAAAACAAAACAAAAAACAAACAAACAAAAAAAAAACAAAGTAACAAAGTCTGCCAAAACTGAAAGATAAGTTATCTTGCTCTAATAAAAAGATGTTTAAGAAATTTATTGAGAAACCACTTTTTCCTCTAGCTTGGTATCATTACTACTGTCCCAGTAATTTAAAATTGAATGCAACCATTCAATAATGTAGCTAAAAAATCTCAAATTTAGGTAAGTAAATAATTACCAAAAAGAAAAAGATTAGTGATATTCAATAAAAAATTTTTAGGCCGGGCGGTGGTGGCGCACGCCTTTAATCCCAGCACTGGGAGGCAGAGGCAAGCGGATCTCTGTGAGTTCGAGGCCAGCCTGGTCTACAAAGTGAGTTCCAGGCAAGGCGCAAAACTACAGAGAAACCCTGTCTCGAAAAACCAAAAAAAAAAAGAAAAATTTTAACATTAATATACAATGCATATTCTAAACCACATCATATTTAAGAGTGGTCAAACAATGAATTTCACCATGCCCAAGGGATGAGGAGGTATCAGATACATTTATCAAATGATTAATTAATATAGCCAATGATCTTATATAAGAAGTTCTGATAAAAGCTGGGGAAGACTTCTCGTTGGAGAAAGGGCTTGTTGCCTAAGTGCCCATGTAAAAGGCCAGGCAGGGTGGCACATACCTGTAATCCAGCACCAGAAGGCAGAAACAGAAGGATCTGGGAGACTACCTAGCCAGCCTGGGCAGTCAGTGAGTTTCAAGTTCAGTGAGACCTTGTCTCAAAAAAATAAGCTGCGAGTATTAGACAGAGACATCGACATTGATTTCTAACAACAACACATATACATATAAATACACACACTTCCCACACACACAAAAGGAACAGGAGCTCTGATAACCACTAACCACACAATAAAAACAGCAATCCTCTGAAATTCAAGTTGTCCTTACTATTGCTTTTAGTCTTCTTTCATAAAAGCACATAGATTATTAGTTGTATACATGGTTGTCATTTTAAAGGGCAAAAAAAAAAAAGCAAAGACTGTAACAACACAAATACTGTTTAAACTGGGTCTACCTTTTCAAATGGAAACAAAGAACTCCACAGACAACTCAAGACTTACATGGTTACTTGGAGGCTAGAGGACAAGACATGTAAAGCAGCAGGAACAGAGCCTGGCACACAGCAAGTACTTGAGAGATTGCCTGGCACATAGCAAGTACTTGAGAGATACAGATTTTCTTTTTCTTTTTCTTTTTTAAAGAATGGGAACTTTTTATTATTTATTTATTATTCCTTCCTTCCTTCATTTATTTATTATATATACAGTGTTCTGTCTGCATGTATCCCTGCAGGCCAGAGGGAGGGCACCAGATCTCATCACAGATGGTTGTGAGCCACCATGTGGTTGCTTGGAATTGAACTCAGGACCTCTGAAGAGCAGCCAGTGCTCTTAACCTCTGAGCCGTCTCCCCAGCCCCCAGATTCTCTTTTTCTGTGGGGAGCAGCAACAGAATGCTGGGGAAATCAAACCCAAATCTACTCACACATGGTAGAAAAGCACTGGCCCAATCTTTTTGCCATACCCTTTCTTGACAATATTTCAAGCATCTGTTTTTGGGGTTTTTGGTGGTTTTTCTTTTTCTTTTTCCTTTTTACTTTTTTTTGAGATAGGGTTTCTCTGTGTAGCTCTGGCTGTCCTGGAACCTGCTCTGTAGACCAGGCTGGCCTGGAACTCACAGAGATTCACCTGCCTTTCCTGAGTGCCAGGATTAGAGGCGTGTGCTACCACTGCCTGGCAGCTTCCCACTTTCTTCAAAAAAGGAAACAAGGTGCTCCACTTCTGACAGCAGAGCAGAGGGAAAGGAAAAGGCCTGTCTTTACTAGGGTATGATGGTCTCAAAAGCTTGCTGGAAGGACAAAATAAGACAAGACATCAAAGTCAGCCAAGAACTAGAACTGGCCTGTTATACCAACACCCAATAAATACTGCAATTAGCTTTTATTATCTTTTAGTAGGCTAACATAAAAAATAAGATATAAAATAACATTTTTTTAAAAAAGGAAATATATTCCTTCATCAACTTGTTTGCAATGAAAAGTCAACTTTAAAATTTGTTGAAACATTTATTTTTAAATATTTTTAAAAGACTCAGCTTAACTTAATCATCTGAAATAAGAGATAAGAGGGTTAAAAACACCCTTGAGGCCGGGCGGTGGTGGCGCACGCCTTTAATCCCAGCACTCGGGAGGCAGAGCCAGGCGGATCTCTGTGAGTTCGAGGCCAGCCTGGGCTACAGCGCGAGATCCAGGAAAGGCGCAAAGCTACACAGAGAAACCCTGTCTCGAAAAACCAAAAAAAAAAAAAAAAAAAAAAAAAAAAAAAACAAAAAAAAACACCCTTGAGGAAGATTCTCATTTTGTAGCTGTTACTATAGCAACATGCTGCCACCTGGTGGCAGTGTATCTATTAATATAAATAAATATAAAGTGGAAACAACAGTCCTAAGAGGGAAAGATCTAGTCATCAAAACTAACAAAGAGAACCAAAACTTAAAGTCATACTATTACACCTAAGAATTTTTATATAGCCGTTTCCATCGCATGCCATCTTCTAAGAAAAATAATGAGTAATAATTAACCAGATTTAAATATTGCATTACAAAAGACAATTAAGTCTGTCCAAAAATCTCGCCCAGGAGGTTCAATGATGTAGTGACCCCTGTGCTGGAAAAAAGTTTACTTGTTCAATGAAGGGTAAATGGAACTACCACTATACTTGCATAGAGTAATCTTTCCCCCTTGGTTACAAATGTACTCACTGGTCACCAGTAACCCGCTTGGTAAAAAGTTGAAGCAGGAGCAATGACAGCTCATCAGTGAAGAGCTTGCCAGGCAAACGAAGACCTTAGTTCTATCTCCAGAGCCCATATGGAAAAGCACAGCACACGATTAACAGTGACAGGGTGTGGCAGCGTGCATCTATGCCAGTACTAGAGAGGGAGACACAGGTGGACCCCAGGAGCTCACTGGCCACCCAGCCTAGCCTACTGAGTCCTGGCCAATGAACCAGACCCAAGGGTGTCCTGGGACCTCCACATACAAACAACCACATGCATGCACACACAAACCTGCTGGTACTACGAGATCTTCTTGATGCATTGTAACTTCTGGGTGGTGTTCTGGACTTCTTATCCTTCTTCCGTTTCTCATCGGCCTCTTTGGATCTGTCTTTTTCCCGCTCCTTGTCTTTGTCTTGTTCCTTTTCCTTGTCTTTGTCTCGCTCCTTTTCATGGTCCTTCTCCTTCTCTCGATCTTTGTCTTTGTTTTTACCCCGTTCCTTGTCTTTGTCACGATCCTTCTCCTTCTCTCTCTCCTTATCCTTCCCTCTTTCCTTTTCCTTCACCTTTTCTCGAGTATCTTTTCTCTTGTCCCTTGAAAAACAAATTCTTAGCTAAAATAATTTTATCTGAAAAAAAAAGAGACTTCTTTTCCCAGAAATACCAATACAAAATCATCTGCAACAACTCCAGACATCAGAAACTTCTGTGTAATTCACGTGTGTACCTGAAACTGCTAAGCAGAACAATGACCAGACTGAGCTGAATCACACTAATCATATTTGCATCAGAGGCCTAGACACTTGAGCAACAAGAAAGCCTCATTTCTCTCATAATAAACCTAAACCACAATTTCAAATGAGTGAAAAGTGATCAAATTTAAATTTTCTTGACATCTCCAGAACTCACCGTGAACGTGAACGACTCCTTGATTTCCGCCTCTCCCTAGACTTAGAGCGTTTTTTATGTGGACTCTTGGATCTACGTCTATCTTTCTGCCTTGAACGTGACCTGTTATGAGATCTACTCCTAAAGAAAAACAAATTGTAAGGAGATCAAAACTTATTCTTAGAATTGCAACTACACAAAGTTAAGACAAGATTAGTTAGAAAGTTGACCCTATTTACCAATATTTTAAATGACCCTTCTATAATGTTTTAGTTATAATACCAGAAATGAATTTACTTACTGGAAAATTGACTAGCTATAATTTAATAGTTATTTCCTATGTCAGAGTTAGTGAGTATTTTCAGGGATGATCTGGAGACTTCACCCGAGTTTTCACATCACCAACTGTCTTAAATTCCTGGCTTCCTTGTAAACTGGTTGTGAGTCATTCTGAGGGGAACAAGTTATATCCTTCAACATATCTATAAATGGCCATGCACAGCTTGTCACAACAAACATTAGGAAGAATGTATAAAGGATGACAGATCGGAGGGTGACCAACAGAATGCATTATAAACATGCATAAAGTTGTCAAAGAACACATTAATAAAAATTATTTCAGCTGTGCATTGCCGCCAGCAACAAGATGCCAGCAGATCAGTAACACCATGGTCACGTGGCAACAAATAGATTAATAGGAATGGGTTAATTTAAGATGAAAGAGCTAGCTAACAAGAAGCTGAAGCCATAGGCCTAGGCCATACAGTCTGTAATTAATATAAGTTCATAATTATTTTATAAGCAGCTGCGAGACTGCAGGGTCAAGTGGGACGAGAAACTTGCAGCTACATTGGCCCCCATAATCTCATAGGGAATAGCACTATTAGGAGGCGTGGCTTTGTTGGAGTGGTATGTCCTTGTTAGAGGAAGTGTGTCATTGTGGGGGCGGGCTTTGAGGTTTCCTATGCTCAGGATACTGTCTAGTGTCTCAGTCCACTTCCTGTTGCCTGCAAGACGTAAGTCTCTCAGCTACTTCTCCAGCACCATGTCTGCCTGCATGCTGCCATGTCTCACCATGATGACAAAAGAATGAACCTCAGAAATGGTAAACAAGTCACCCAATTAAATGTTTCCTTTATAAAAGTTGCTGTGGTCATGGTGCTTCTTCACAGCAACAGAAACCCTAACTAAGATATCAGTCTTTTATTACTCTTCAGCAGTTTCATACTTCCTTGATATTCTTTATCCAGTCAACAGGTGGCAATCCATCACCCATCCTGGTATTCATGGTCATTACACTGCTGTATCTGTTCTACTTTCCTGCTTCAACTCTGGTTCCTTCCTACTGCACTTATTTTCTGGGCATTCTTGAGACAATGTCTTGCTATACAGGTTTGGCAAAGCTGGTATTTACTCGCTATGGAGACCACACTGGATTAAATATGAAGCACTTGATTTTGAGCTTGCCCCAGTAAGAACTTGGAGACAGTAAAGTACCCGAAGGGGATTTTGTAAACTATGTATGTACAATACCATTAAAAGTACAGCTTACCAAAGTCAAAGAAAGAACACTCTATTTTCCTATCTCATCTTTGAATCGCCTTGATCACCAAAGAAAAACAAACAAGACGGAAGGTGCTCATGAGGCTTCTCCTGAAGCCCTCCTCCTTTAATCCCCTACTTTGCACATGCATGCACACATCTATGTCCCTGTCTCAAGACTTGAGTGACTCAGCAGCAAAGAAGACTCCCTACATCCAGGCATTGTGGTGGTTTGAATGAAAGTGGCCCCCATAAGCCTATAGGGAGTGATACTATTAGGAAGTGTTGGAGGAAGTGTGTCACTAGGGGTAGGCTTGAGGTTTCAGAAGCTCAAGCCAGGTCCAGTGTGGTTCTATCTTCCTGCTGCCTGAGGATCCAGATGTAAAACTCTCTGCTACCTCTCCAGCACCATGTCTGCCCAGATGACACCATGCTTCCCAATCTGATGATAATGTACTAAACTTCTGAACTGTATAAGCCAGTCCCAATTAAATGTTTTCCTATACAAGAACTGCCATGGTCATAGTGTCTCTTCACAGCAACAGAAACCCTAACTAAGACATGCATGATTCTCAAGTAACTTGCATATCAAAGCAGGACCCGCTGCAATTTGCATCTAAGGTATCATTTGCATCAAACACAAAGCAATTACATATAAAAGAAAAAGAAACTAAAGTTATGATCACAAACAGGACAGAAAGAACTTAAGAGAAGGATGGCACTGGTGCTCAGACCACGGAGAGAAGAGCTGCAACCTGAGCACTACTTCCAGCGTTAGCCTGTCTCACAAAGGAGAGTGGAAACCTTCTGTGGAGTATAGAAGGTTGGTTTACGGCCAGGTGGTGGGGACGCATGCCTTTAATCCCAGCACTCGAGAGACAGAGCCAGGAGGATCTACAGAGTAAGATCCAGGACAGGAACCAAAACTACACAGAGAAACCCTGTCTCGATTTAAAAAAAAAAGGCTAGTTTACAAAAAAATCGAGTATAAAACATACGAAAATAGGAAAAACACTTTTAAAACTAAAGACTATCAAAAATTAAAAATCAATTTGAGCTGGGAAACAGTGACGCATGTCTTGAATCCCAGCACTTGGGAGGCAGAGGCCAATTTCTGAGTTCAAGGCCAGCCTGGTCTACAGAGCAAGTTCCAGGAGAGCCAGGGCTACAGAGAAACCAGGTCTCAAAAGTCCAAAAACCAACCAACCAAATAAACAAAAAAGAACTAATCTGAAAACCTTTCTTTCCTTTGAGCACATGGCAAGAGAAAAATGGACCAGGCAGCAACTGGTGTACCCCGTAACTACAGCATTATGGGTAGAGCACTGGTTAACAGTAAACAACTGGTGTACCCCTAACTACACCATTACCCGTAGAGCATTGGTTAACAGTAAGCACACCACCAGGTAAGTAGTACACTAAGGAAATTTCTCAGTTCTAGCAAGTCAACATCTCAACCCTCTGATATACATACAAAACTGGAGAACACAGCATCGGCAGCAGAGTCTCACCTGTGCTTGGACTGCGACCTCTTCCTTTGAGAGTGGGATTTTGAGCTAGACCTGGACTTTGAGCGAGTGTGCGAACGGGATCGACCGCCTTTCCTTTCATTGCTCTTTCCAGACTCTGGGAGGAAAAAACCACTTTGCAGCGTAAGCTCAGAACAATTAAAGATCCCAATTAATAATTAGGCACAAGTGGAATATACCACATATAGTGCAAGGGGCCTACTCTCTGTACATCCTCCTCCTGTGCAATTATCCTTCAGAAACATCCAAGAAAGTCATTGCATAAACTCGTTGAGTGCAGCCACCCTGCAGCAGTACATATAAACCAGATGATTATAAACAGCTGTTCGTAGTATTTTGTTGCTGCCATAACGTATGATTAAACATGTCTGCAATTCCTACGACAGTGAGGCTAAGACCTTCCTGCATTTATTTTGTTAGAATTGAAGCTAAGTTTCAAGTGTTAATTTAGGAAATCTAATTAAAGCTAAATCACAAAGACATTTTTAGAGTGGATTTTAAAGTATTTAGCAACACAAAAATTTGAGTAAGTTTTACTTTCATCTTGCAAAACTGAGTGTGTTTTTTCTAAATCATATGTCCTTTCTCTTGTCTTAAAATTAAGACTTTGAGGGAAAGTCAAGCTGCCTATTTTTAGCACTTTACACATTATTCTTTCCTTTTTAGCCTCACAGTACTAACACTCACACCCTGCCTCTATCTAGCCAACCAACTTCAACACCGACTTGCTGTCACAGAGAACTCCCTAAGCTGGTGTGTCAGCTCAGCAGTAGCAAAGTCGGTCTGTGCTGGCCTGCTCTGAGCCCACTGACTACTTCTTGGGTTTCAGTCTTCTCATTTGTGCAATGAAGGAACTGAGCAGTGTGATCCTAGAACTCCTTCCAGCTCTCAGAGTCTACACTCTTTAGACTGTGACTATGCAACAACAGCGTGGGCCTTACCTGGTTCAATAGCTGCTGAGATAAATGACTGAGCCTCCCGCACTCGCTTCATTACTTCTTCTAACTCCTTAGCTGCAGCCTGAGGTGTCATCTCAGGAGGCTTTACTATTGCATTGTTGGAGTGATTTATTCTAAATTAAAAATATTAGTATATCACAAACACACCACAGTTTATAAAACATGAACCAACTGTTAGTATGATACATATCTATTTATAAATCTAAGGGTATCTCAGCAGCACATAAGGAAATAAAATAGCTAAATACAGAATAGCCAACAGCAACCTCAGAAAACCATGATTAACTACTCATCCACACCGACCATCATTTCTTGATTAAACAAAGAACTGAAGTCTACCTTACTTCTTCAACAACTGAAAGACTACTACAAGTGCTTTTGCATATACCTTTAGAAAAAATGACAATCCTGGCATGGCCATACAGTTTATAAAAAATATAAGTCTCTATGTATTTACTTGGTTGGGTCTGAACAGCTGCGGGACTGGCGGGTGAGAGAGATTTGTCCTGACCATGGGCCAGACAGGACCAAAAAAACTCTAGCTACAAATGACTTCTTTTTTTTCCTCCTGGTTTTTCTGCATAGCCCTGGCTGTCCTAGAACTCACTCTATAGACCAGGCTGGCCTCAACTCACAGAGATCTTCCTGCCCCTGCCTCTCAAGTGTTGTGATTAAAGGTGTACCACCACCACCAGGCATGGACCACTTCTATCCTTAATTAGATTCTGCTAATAACCTGCATACCCCGACAGGACGAAGGGGAAGCCAACTACATGGCCATTTTATTCAACACTGCCCCATGTCTAAGTCAGACATAGCTTCAGAGTTGAAAGGCATCTGGTAAACCTCCCCTAGCGGGCAAGGTGGCTTCTGTAACACACACAGACACACCTGCTGTGTCTAGCTTACCCATTCCACACTGAGTAGACTGAGTACCCGATAACAGTGACTCATCATTTAAAAGTAATATCCCACATGGCGGGGGTGGCGCACACCTTTAATCCTAGTACTTGTGAGGCAGATGCAGGTGGATCTCTGTGAGTTTGAGGCCAGCCTGGTCTACAGATCGAGTTCCAGGAAAAGTTCCAAAGCTACACAGAGAAACCCCGCCTCAAAAACACCAAAAAAAAAAACCAAAAAAACAAAAAAAAAAAAAAAAATAAAATAAAAAGTAAAATCCCATCAAACTATTAACTAAGAGATCAACCTATAAAACTCAAACCCACATTCACCCTAATAACCTGTATGAAATTTAATTTCTGGTCTTGAGTATCTGAAAATTGATATGCAATTTTTACAAACAAGGACGGACATGAGCAGATTAAGTCACAATGTCTCATTTAAAACACTTCTAAATACTTAACGCTACTTTCTTTGTAGGATTCTTATTATAAGAAGTTCTGTAGTTCAATTACAAACTAAGTTGCCCTTACTCTACAATCAGCACAAAACAAACCTGACTTACAGAACTGTACAGGAAAATACCTGAAGCCATTATGTACCATATACAAACAGTTAGTGGCCAACTAGATATTAAAAACAGAAAAGACATCTTCAAATATAACATGCTACAGTGTCATGCATTTCACGTATATTTAACAGTCTCTTCCTTTCCATAAATTGCCCATAACTATTTTTTAAAAACCTTAATTAAATCAAACACTTTATAACTTTTTCAAAACCATTAAAATGTCTTGGTTGAAGATTTCTTACTTCAGTGGCCTGTCTCCAAACATAACTCCATTAAAAGCAAGGGCCCTTGGTACAGAATTTTGGTCTGCAAATTCCACAAAAGCAAACCGAGTGGGCTGAGTCTCATCACCTGCCATCCGAACAAACTTCACTTCTCCAACTTGTTTAAAAAATTCAAGTAGTTGATCAGCTGTCGTTGTCTGAGGAAGCAGAGGGACACTTTAATACAGTATACTCTTTTTTTCTTTTTAAAATCAGGTAAATAAGCAGTTTACATTTGCAGGGAGAAGGGAGGACATTTTCTTTAGTGACGGGGCCACTGGCAAGGTTCCCATGCTCCTGTCAATAGCCCCTTACCTATGCTTCTCTAAGATCTTGATTACACTTCCTGGGTCACAAGAAACTCGTGAGAGTAGAAGGGGGACTAGCTGGGAGGAAAAGGGGACCAGTGGGGGTGGAGGAGTCACAAGAGAGTAATGGGGAAAATGATCATGACCAAAATATATGCATGCATGAAAACATCATAATGAAACCAATTATGTAAGATATGCTAATAAAAATAAATTTTAAGAATAAGTAAACAATACTTTATCAACAGAATTTTTAAGAAGAAAGAATAAGCAGCTACTGCCACTCAGTTTCTTCTTAGTTACCTGAGAATTCAAATTTCCAACATAGACTGTTCTCCTAATTTCATCAATTTTTGAAGGATCCACATTTCCCATAAGTGGTGGCTGTGGGATCTCTCCGAGTGTTGTAATATTGGGGTCCAGTGCTGCTGCCGGTATGGCTCCCAAACTGCTAAGCGAAACACCAAGCTATAAAAAACAAAAGTAAACCATAAGGCACAGTTCTCATTAGTGACCAAAGCATTGTTCTTTAATCTTGCTACCAGTACCAACTCAACATGAATGTGAGTAAAATTTAAGCTACATGTATCTGAATTATTAGGAGTGAGATCACATTCGTTTTTTAATACAACGTCTTTACCCTTAAACTGATACTAAAACTGAACACTAATTTTCAGTGTTCAAGGTAGTTACAATCTGTGATTTCCTTCAACAGGATTACTGTACGGACACTGTAGGAAAGAGGTAAGGTTACATTTCTGAGAGCCTGTAGTCACAATAGCCCAGTCCATCATACATTCATTACAGAACTTTCTCATGTGCCTGTCTGATATTCCCTCAGTCAACACATGTTAACACTGAATGCATGGTCAGCAAAACAACTCTGAAGCTTTTCTACATTTTCATCATTAAGGACTCTTTTTTTTTTTTTGGTTTCTCGAGACAGGGTTTCTCTATGTAACAGCCCTGGCTGTCCTAGAACTCACTCTGTAGACCAGGCTGGCCTAAACTCACAGAAATCCTCCTGCCGCTTCCTCCTGAGTGCTGGGATTAAAGACGTGCGCCACCACAGCCCGGCTCTTTTATATATAGATATAACATTTATATTTATGTGGGTATATATGAGTTTATGTACACCACAAAGGTGCCAAAAGAGGGTATTGGATCCCCTAGAACTGGAGTTCCAGAAGCTGAGCCATCTCTCTAGGCCCCATGGGATAATCTTTCTAGAACATTAGTAAAAGCAGTTTTCAGAACCTATCTTAGGAAACATGATAATTTTAAAGTATTTTTAAACTAGAAGAAACAGAAGCTCTCAGAATTTGAAAACATTTTCTGCATTTGGCAGAAGTAAAAAAAAAAAAGTTTTTTCAAGGAAAACGTACAACCACATTTCTACTTGTGCTACTCATAAAACTATCACTGACAATATGTGCAAATATAATGTAAATGACTAGATTTAACGACTGTTAAATAAAAGCAGTTTCAAAGGTGAAAAACCAATGTCATTTATTCTTGTTATAGAGGCCAGTCTGATCTTTTGGAAAACATGCTAGAGTCTAATCAACTTAAAAATAAAATTCAAATGCTTTCTATGATCTAAAAAGCCCTACAAAGTCAGTGTCCTATCCAACCTCAAACACCTAGTTTTCTCTCCTCACTATGCTCCAGCCAAATTAACCAGCATGGGTTCCTCAAACACATTCAATTAAAAATCATTTTGGGAAAAAAAAAAAATCTGCAAAGCTGAGTGGTGGTACATCTTTAATCCCAGCACTCAGGAGGCAGTGGCAGGCAGATCCTGTAAGTTCAAGGCCAGTCTGGTCTACAGAGGAGGCTCCAGGACAGCTGAGGCTACATAGAGAAACCATCTCAGGGGAGGAAAAAAAATCATTTTGCTCCTTGGATCATAGTAAAGGTCTCCAGTGAAAGATTGCTATGCAAGATTCAAAGTTTCAGAAGGCACTTCTTGAATCAGGACAAACTGACCATCACAATCATGAAGTCTGCACTCCCTATGGAACACTAGACCACAGTCCTTACTGTTAAAGGGAGTGGGGCTGCAGTCTTCAACACAAAAGCCCAAAGCCCAGCAATGGCTATATAGGTCTTTTTCTAAGAAATCACAAGATATGAATTACTGTTTAATTCTACACAGAGAAACACTCAGATTTTCTTGTCACACCTTGTTCCATCTTCTCAGTCACCAGGTAACCACTTTTCTGAAATGCTTTTGTCCATGACTAATACTCAACTCCTTTTTTAAATGATTTAGTCCTTCTGGTCCTCCAGAATTGGCAAGTGATCTAGCACCTCCAAGTCTATGTTACCTAAAGCACCCAGTGTCCATAACTGATTTTTCTACTAAATAAACCTATTTCAAGTCTCAAATTTGAACAATCCTCAATATTCCAAAGTAATCCCCAAAACAAGCTCCAGTAAGATGACATGGGGTAAACTCTTAAGCATGGGTTTGGAATAGCTGCCATCAAAGAAAGTGAAAATAATTTCCCCTCCTTCCTCAACAGTTTGCACAGGTCAGTGCTTACCCACTGAGAGGACTTACACTACTCACTGCCGTCAGAGGGCTGGAGGTCGGTATGGGAAGCAATCCTGCACCAGGCACCAGGCTGGTCATGGTTGGAGCAGGAGCCAGTAAAGAAAGGGCTTTGGCTTCCTCTGGGATTTTACCTGCAGAGGCAAGTTCCAAATATTATGGAGAGCAGAAACACCACACCAGCTTTACACTATGATTTTACAATTACCCTTGCACTTAAAAAATAATAATAATAAATGAATCTATCTATCAGATCCGTACAAAGAAACAAATAAGAACATAAGTCTTTCCTTTTATCCTGCTCTATTAGGAAAAATAAAAGTGAGCAAAACTTCAAAGACTAACAATCTCATTAATGGAATATTATTTTAAAAACTGAATAATGTAGACAATTATTTAACACTTTGAGCTATGGGTCACCTGTACTGGAAACTTAATGTTCATGAACCAAACGATATCAAGCATGGACGCTTTCCCAGGACGCTGTTTTCGCGGTGATCGAAAGTTGTGTTACACATGACAACCGTTCGTGTTGGCTGCGTCACTAATAGCACACAGAACATCAGATACAGAAAAGAAGAACATTTTTTAAAGTTTAATCCCCAGAAATGGCAAATAACCAAATTAGTCAAAAAAAAAAAGAAAAGAAAAAGAAAAAAACAAATATGTGCGAATTGAACTTTGTTCCATAATGCGTGTCTCTGCCCTGTTACTGAAGCTCCTACTTGTGAGCAGACAATTCTGACACCCTCCAAGACTCCACTCAATTTCAGATAAATACAAGAACAGAAAACTAGAACATGCAATCAGCTTCAATTAAAAAAGGTCCATACCCATTCATCAGTAAGGCACCTCACCAACATCAGTAATGCCTAGAAAGAATCCAATCCCAAAGAAAATGCCTTAGGCATTTGATAAAAAAAATTCATGGGGCTGAACAACATTTCCCCAGTCTCAGGAAACTTATAATACTAACTTTTAGATGCAATTTCGGTATATTTATCTGAATAATAGTAACTAATACTTAAAAACGCTTTTCTTATGAAGCCTGTAATTTTCTAACAGGAGTAATACCAAAATCCCTTTAGAAGTGAAGAAAAATGCCCAAAACTTAAAAAATGAAAAATTTTGTTTCTGAATAAAAAAAAAAGACTAAAACTTTCACATTTTCCCCTATCTTCTTAGCAAAAAAAGTCTATTTCTCAAACTTGATTGCATATATAAATAGCCACTTCTATTAAGAGCATCTAAAAACTGTACTTTAAGAATCAAATATATTGAAAAATATATGTGGCAAGTTTTCAAAGGCATTATGCCTGATTTCAGTGGGAAAATCCTATTTAAAACAACCAGATGTCAGAGAGAAATCTCCAAACAATTTCTGGAAAAACCTCTAAGCATGGATAGAATTCAAGCTGGAATTTAAAACTTTAGATAACGGTTTTAGCTTATGCATAGAAAGAAAATTAGAATCACAGTTTAGTGGCTTTGGCAAATGCATACTTTCTAATTTACAGCATCTAAATTTAACTAATTTCAAAAATGAGGTTATTACTTTAAATTCTGGAGAACAAATTTCTTAACATGCATAATGATAACAAGGTAGGCCTTACTAAAGATATCAAATAACAATGAACTATTAGTTACCACTATTACTATACATCTACATATGCCCACATATACACTATACTATTTATATTATCACATTCATTTTATCTATGAGAAATATTTTTTAAGATTTAAAACCTGAACACCTCTGATGAATAACTGCAGTCCTGAGGTGTGCACTCTATGCTTCAGTACCCTAATTTATGCACCTAAAAGAGTTCCAATGTAGTCATGTGCTCGATTTAATATTGTTTGTCAATAACCAAACCCAGCTATCCAGACAGTAGAGGCTACACAGACAATAAGGTATTAGACATGAGCCAAGCTCATTACTTCGAACTGTGAGGCCTCAGTTCTATCTTAAATATCAGCAGGCTATCAGATTCTCCCTGCCATTCATGACAATAAACTGTTAAAAATCAGTAACTATAAGCTCAGTATTATTTGTCTTATTCTATTAAAGATACTTTAAGAAAATTTCCATTGCTTTATTTCCAAAATAAAATTTATCTTCTAAAACTCTAGTAGAGTATATGGAGTAAAAACAAGTGAGCATTTAGCATTTTCCCCAAACTACACTTGAAAGAAAACTGAGGCAAACATCTCTCACACAACTGTGAGTCCTGACTTCATAATCCACTTGAAAAGCTAGTAACCTCTGAAGAATTCTCAACAAAAAAATTCAAGCAAACAAAAAAACATGCATGCAAATAAATAACCAACAGTTTTCTCCAATATCCATTCCCCAGAGGCAACAGAAGGCTTCTTAAGACCAAGCTAATAGAAGACAAAGACCTCCCCCTACCTTCGGATTGTTAAAAGAAATGCACTTAATTTTCCTTGGTGCTTTTATATGCCTACAGTTCTAGGGGAAGGATAAAAATTAGAAGCCATCAGTTGGTTTTATGAGAGATGTAGACTTGGGGAAAAATAATAAGCACTGAGCCCATCAGAAAATGTCCCTACGGTTCTAGTCAAGTGTTTTAATGTTTGAAGATCAAAGTGCACCTCAACCCGCCAACACCAATTAAAAGACCCTGGGCATCTATCTTCACAGCACTGCACTCTACCTTACTGCACGGCAATTCAGTTCATCTCAAAGTTGAGCTCTGTTCATCCTTCCCCCATAAATATACAACACGTTATGAATTCTTAATGGAATACCATTTACAAAGAACTGGAAAACCAGCTCACAAGTTAAAAGTGAGAGAGATTTAACAAAACAAAAACAAAACAAAACAAAAAAGGGACAAAATAAAAAGAAATGAAATGAAAGTAAAACAATAAAAACAGAGACAGGGCGTCCATCTTCTGCGGCTCAGACTCCGATCTCATTTCCCCAATGAAGGTTTCACTTGGCGGCAGGTTTAGTGGCATGGCAAACAATGCCTGACTCAGGCAAGTGTAACAGGTCTGCCTTGGCCAGTCTAGTCATCTAATAATGCACAAATATCACATAGAGAAAACATACAAAACCAAATTAATAGTCAAAATCCATCTACCAGAAAATGTGGACATAAAGTTATGACTGATGATTAGGCTCACACCTGCTATGTTGATCTTATTTTTTCTAAGTGTTAACATTTATAAAAAGAAATCTGAAATGCACGCAACAACAAAAAGAGGTCATATTTAGACAAGTATATTTTATTCAAAATGGCATGTTTTATTAACTATAGTCCATGCTCAATGGGTATCACACACGTCACTTTTCCACCCTCTTCTCACATTACTGTCTCTGAAAACGAGTACAGTGTTCTACATGGCCCTCCCTTCTCGTTCCCACCCAGTGCTGTGCTGTTTCTACGGCATGGAAGCGCGCAGGGATTCGAGTGCACAGGGCACACGCAGCACCGCCCCACTGCCTCCTCTCTGAGCCTCCTCCACTGCATACTTCATTTGCTCCTCACTCTGCTCTTTTTCATAAAACAATGCATTACGTCTTTGCTGGCAGTGCATGATCAGGCTTAACAGCTGTGAAAGTCATCAGCTGTAGTTGACAAAACTAATAAAAAATGTCTATCAGTCTCTTCCTGATACCAGTTATGTGGAAATACAAAAATGCAGTAAATGTTTAGATTTGCATGTACAAAAATGGTAAAATTTTCTCTCAAAATGATAGCATTAAAAATATTTAAGAGCTATAACTGATTGTGTTTTTATAAATATCTACCAAGTAAACAAATGACTTCCATGTGCTCATAACCTTGAAAGTTTTGTACAAATCAGAGTTTCTCTGATTGTATGGGATTAACGCAAGGTTCCAACAATGATTTAAAACTCTTCCTTCAAAATCAGCAATGATAAAAGTCAACACTATAAATTTCTGATATTTCCAGTTAAGAAATCTACTGAAGTATTTCAATCTGTGCAGTTTCACGCCATGAAACTTTGTAGAATTAATACCTCTTCCTCTCCCACCTTACTCCCCAACTTGGGGCTCACTGTGCTCTTAAAGAGTAACAGATAAGAATCTACTCAGCAAATAATTTACTTTAATCCATCTTCTCTCTCTACTCTAACCCTTGAAACATGAGAAATATGCTTTCAAATTTATCTGGGGAAAAAAAAAACCAGAACTTCCTGTTCTGGAATTTCAAAATTACCAGTCTGGGAGGAGTTGTATCTTATAGCTCTTAACATTCCAAAACAGGCATTCTAAAACAAGCAGAAAACTCCCAAAGTGCAGCAAATTCCTGATGCACTAAGTAACTTCAATGTTAACCTAATAACTACAACAAGTTTTTAAAATTACATATAAAAAGTTCATTGAATTGTTTCTAGCATACTTTTATGCTATAAAATAGTTACTATCGGCTAGCAAAAAAAAAAAAAGTTCATTTCTAAGGACATGTAAATTTAGAAGATAACCAAATTTTAAACACTATATATATATATATATATAAAAGCCAGTCAGTACTCTAAGTTAATTGTACATTAAAACTGTCAAAATCAGAAGCCAATTTATACATGAATGACTCTAGAAAAACAAAATTTTTAATCATAATTAGCTCTTAAAGCAATACAAGACATAAAATTTAACAGATAACTAGAAGGCCTTTGGCCCTGCTCCCACCTTTCACATCACTCCTGATGGAGGCTTTAAAAATTGCTTTCCAGTTACCCTCCCCAATAAAAGCCAATCAAAGAAAAAGTTCTAAGTGTATAGCAAAAATTACACTAAATTATGAAACCATAATCTTGTAACAATTGAGAGAAACTACCTTCACAGGATATTTGAAAAAATAAACCGAGTACTTTTCAAATAAATATAAAAATATCACAACCCCAATTTGGCTGAATGTATAGTGTTTTGTTGGGAAACTCTTAACTCTGTCCCATGAGTATATACTTACATATGCATTTTAAATACTTTTCCATACCAACTTAAGTTTTTAAAGTCCAAAAAGCTCTTCTTACAATCTGCAAACTGGCTACAGAAAAGCCAAAGTCAACTATAAAGGGCAAATATTTAATCAATTTTCTAAATGTTCAGTTGTAAAATTTCAAATATCCATAAGTAATGAACTAACCACTTCAATATACTTTTCTATCAGGTGTTTTTTCTTCTCCAAATTTCATTCTCGTTTTCACACACACAAATGTGAGTGTGCACAACAGACTTGCACATAGAGTACTGGCCAATTTCTAGGAAAGTCAAACAGACAGGACAGATATTAAAACAGTAAGAGAAAACATGAGATACCAACCTTCTGCACAAGGAACTACTATCAGAGCTCTGTCAATAAAAACCGTGTTAGTTAGATGCTGGGCCACACCAACACTGGATGGGTCACGAAACTTAATATAACATACTTTGGAGGAAAAAGCAAGAGGTGTGTTGCTGCAAGATAAAAAGAAAACAAATGGATTAATAAACATTTGCATGGTTTGATAATTTTCATTTGAAATTTCTTTCTTACACCAGACTTAGGTAATTTTCATTGGTAAAGATGATTAGCACAAGAAACAACAAATTTTAGTCATTTAATGCTGACTTGTCTGACAAAGCAGAAGTCAATCTAGGCTTGTCTACAAAACCCTTTTGATGAGTGAAATTTAAAATCAGTCAGTCCTTAAGTGACATTCCAAAACAGCTATCATGTTCTCAGGCAAAATTCCTTTACAGAAGCACCTATTTTCAAGACTTCACACTGCAGCTTCTCCCAACCCTATCTCATTACACAACATTCATAACATAAAAGCCAGAGCTAAAGCCAGAGCTAGTAGGAACATGGGAGGCCCTGGGTTCACTGCCAATAATGAAAAAGAAATCACTTCAAAATGATCATTCAATCAGGTAACATGGAATTAAACGAGGAGTTTCTGCATATACCAGATGGCTTTAGGCTACAGAAAAATGTGCTTTTGGGGACAAAAACAAAAGGTTTTTACAAACAAATGTTAATATAATTTATTTTGCAAAATAGTAGACATTCTAGCCCATTTGATTCAACTCAATCTAAACAGACCTACGGTAAAAAGGAACCAGGATGTTGAAGAGAGTTTGTCTATAATATGATCTTACCTCGATATATTAAAAAATCACTACCTTCATGGCACTATGTTGTTATCTATACTATTTCTCATTAAAACACTGAATAACTGTTTAACTAGTAATTACAAAGTCACCTTTTAAAAAAAGATTTATTTTATTTTTAAGTGTGTGTACACATGTGAATGCTGGTGGCCATGAAGTCCAGAAAAAGGCTGGAACTGGAGTCACAAGTGAAGTGCCTAAGAGGGTGCTGAGAACCTAACACGAGTATGTGCTCTAACCACTATAAACCATCTTTCCAGCCCCCTCCACAGTCATTTATTACTAAATTTGTTCTCTGTAATCCTTCACATATAGCAACAAATCCATCTTTCAAACAATGTGGACTAACATTAAACGGTTAAAGTTACAGTTACACTATCAACCTGTGATGGTTAGCATTGCTAGTCAAACTGACTGGGTCCACAATCACCAAAGAGACAACTGTATGTGCTATGATCTAGATTAGAGGAGTTGCAGTGGCACCATTTCCTGGGCTAAGGTCCTCTACGACATTAAGGAGAACAACCAGATCCCAGAGCCTGCCTGCTGAGTATTAACTATACTTGGATGCACCCTTACCTCAGTAAGCTTGCCCTGTATCCTGTATTTTTTTAGTTAAAAGTCAGTCACATTTTTCTGGTCTGATATCTGGGAGGCACTAGTATTATAGTAATTGACACTATTCACCAAAATTTCCAATGCTCCTTTTAAGTGCATGGTAAAATTCCACTTTTCTGCTTCATGAACTTAGTTATGTGCATATAATTTGCTTTGGTGGAGTAACTATCAACAGAACTAACATCTCGATTCTGCAGAAGCCTTACGAGCCACGGTTTAGCTCTCTTCCTCTGCCACAGCCACCAGCAATGTTCAAGATGTCTACTTCATCTCAGAGCGCTTCACTGGGGCCAGGCCTCAGTGCAAACTACCAAAGCTTGTTAAGAAATAATCTCTCTTGTCAAACAGAGACTTGGGTTGCCAATCCCGAGTCACTCCTGATCCTTGACCTTTCCAACTTCCTCATCCAACCGTCAATAAATCCTGAGATCATTTCCCAAACACAGTCTTTCCTCATTCTCACTTCAGTGCAGGACCTCAGCAGTGCACACCTAGATTATTTTACAGTTTCCTAACCAATCACTCTTTGTCTAATTTTAATCCCTTATTAATGGTCTTCCACAGAAGTGCCAGTGTGATCCTTAAACCCTAAATTGTATCACATCCCTTAAGAGTAAATTTCCTTGGAGGCACCTTTGTGTTCCTGCTTCATTTTATATCTATCCAAAATTCCAGACATACATGTGGTTTCTAGAACACATCCTGAGTAAGAACATAATCTGAACACGAGGACTCGGTACATGCTGCTTCACTCAGATTCAGATCTCCCCTCTCTCTCTCCTGAAATGAATTCCATTTTTCTTCAAGACTCCAAGTTTCAAGTCCCCTGTAAACCATCCAAAGATATCACAGGCCACAGGCACCCCTCGCTGAGCATTATATGCAGTTTAAGCACAGGCATTACTACAATTTATTTGAAACCCCAACACATTCTATAAGTTTCTCTAGGCACGAATGACTAGTCACTTGCCACAAGAGCTCATTTCACTGGCTGACCAACACCACCTAATTTGGGTAGGCAGGCTTGACCTAACAAATGAACTCAAAACAATCAGAATGTAGCTTGTGTCCGATGAAGGAGGAGTATAGAGTAGGTCCACAAAGACACAAAGAAGATACACAAAAACAGTCTCTTGAGAGAAAAAGGCAGAGTCACTTTGCTGCCACCTTTCTGATTCCCAGGCCCAGGACACAGGAGGCCTCCTTGCTCTATGGCTATTACAGCCTTTATTCTCCAATTTAGCAAAGAACTTTATTAAACAATGTCGGTACTTATGTGGGATTGATAACACCTTCTGTCCTTGCCAGCTAAAGCAAGTTAAAAGCCTATTAAAGGTCTAGGAATTGCAACAGGAGTATGTTTAGCCCTCTAATCAAGAGTCTGACAAGCCATCATTAGAGCTACAGTTCCCACGTTGGCTGACTCTTTTGTGAAAAAAATACAAACCTAAAGAGTCACTACTGAAAATGAAAAAAAAAACGCATCCTAGATATCTCTAGTTAAAACCCACTTCACGCCAGGCGGTGGTGGTGCACGCCTTTAATCCCAGCACTCGGGAGGCAGAGCCAGGCGGATCTCTGTGAGTTCAAGGCCAGCCTGGGCTACCAAGTAAGTTCCAGGAAAGGCGCAAAGCTACACAGAGAAACCCTGTCTCAAAAAAACCCACTTCCCTTTACATTTAATAAAGCAGCCCAATTTATAAAGAAACTATATGGAAGATTAAGTTTAAGAACCCTGGGAACTGATTTCAAAGTGGTCTACTCTAAAGAGCACTATCATGTAAGGTATATAGTACAGCAGTTCTCAACCTTCCTAATGCTGAGATCCTTTAATACAGTTAGTTCCTCATGTTGTGGTGACCCCCAACCAGAAAATTATTCTGTTGCTACTTCATACCTATAATTTTGCTACTGTTACAAATCATAATGTAAATATCTGTTTTCCAATGGTCTTAAGTAATCCCTGTGAAAAGGTCATGTGACCCCAAAGGGGTCACAACCCACAGGTTGAGAACTGCTTTAGAGGATCTATCAAAATCACATGAACAAAGAGTTGTATGCATGAAATTATTAAGCAGCATAACATTTATCTAAGTACTCCAATAGCATTTTGGATGGCACAATTCTAAACCTTTCCTATGAACTGCTGACATTACCTACAGACCTACAATGAATGACTGCTGACGACCAGACACTTCCAAATGTACCTAGCTTAAATTCATTTATTTATAATCAAAAATTAAAACCATGGCCAACATATAATGACAGAATTTTAAAAAACACTCAACATAGCACATGTCTTTAAATATTACTTTAAAGCACAGCAATATGCAAAACGCTTATTACAGATTAAGTAAAAAAGGCTTATAATCACAGTGTATGAATCCTTGGATCACACTGTATTATAATAAGCACATATAGGGAACCAGAAGAAAAAACACGCTAATGGAAGGAGTTCGGTGGGGTGATGTAAGGACACAGACTTTATTTCTTTTTCTCCATTCGATATAAAATGGCTGCTATGGTAGGTTCTGAAGTAACCCCCAAAGGGCTCTGGTGTTGAAGGCTCCTCCTCAGCTGTTGGTGGTACTTAGCTTACACAGATGAATGCACTGATAGGAAGTGCGGGCTGGCTAGAGCACTAGGGTGCAGCTTTAAGGAGACTTTATCTTGTCCCTGGCTCCTTCCTGGGGTCTGTCTCTATTTCCTACCCACCATCGTTATTTCTGCCTGGCCATAGGCTGAATCAGCAGAGTCTGTCAGCACAGACTGAAACCTCCGAAATCCTGAACCAAAGTAACTCCCTGCTTGATGAGCTTAGGTGTGTTGCCATGGCAACAAAAAAGACAGACACAGCACATGTTATTTCTCTAAGTGAACTAAGTTACTGTAAGTAGTTATAGGCTTTTACTGTTGTTCTTTAAACTTTGAAAACCAGAGAAGAAACCAGAGCAAGCAAGAAAGACTGCAAGTGAAAATCTTCCCAGTGTTAGAAATCAAAAGAATTACCCTTGGAGGGCCGGGTGTTAGTCAACTGAAGGAAGGCACAGGGAACTTACAGGATGCAGATACTTCCCCTTCTGTGTGCTTGCTACGTTGCTCTGTTTAAACTCTAAAAATTCATTGAGCTGCACACCATGATGTTCATTTTTCTGTATAAATATTATATCACAATGAAAAGTTTACTGAAAAAAGCAATTTGTATAAAATAGGTTTTCATGGACTATGAAATTCAACTATTGTGCAAAAAGTTGGACAGTAATTCTGGATATTTAATTATCTGGCAACACAAAAAAGAATGACAAATAATCCTTAACAAGTTCAATGAATGTCTACATAAATTCTTTTTTAATTTTCTGTATTATCTGTGCAAGTGTGTGCACACGGGGTGGAACTGTAGAGAAAGGTCGGAGGACAACTCTGAGGAGCTGAATTCTCTCCTTCCACAATGGTTCTAAAGACTGAACTCAGGGATCAGGCTTAAGAGGCAAGCCTTTTTACCTGGTGAGCCATGTTACTGGCTTGTTTACATGAATGCTTAGTGTTTACAAATTCCAACAAAACTGGCCCCTGAGGAGTCAGTTCAGTGGTAAAGCACCTGCCACACAAGCAAGCAGATCTTCAAGATGCGGGCACTCACACCAAAGCAAGGTGTGGTGGTCTGCATCTGCGGCACCAGGGAATGGAGACAAGCAAATCCCCAGAGGGAGCCAGCTAAGCCCGTCTATAGAAGGGGCTTTAGAGTCAGTGACAGGCTGCTTCAAAGAATAAGGTGGAGAGCAAAAGAGGAGGACACCCAATGTGGACCTATTTTCACATTTCCTAAAGAAATGTATTCCAATTTTAAAGTAAATAACTACTCAACTTCTAAACATTAATCACAAAACAATGTTTATATGACAAACCGAAACAACTATCATTATCTTTGACAAATGTACTATTGACTACAATTTTAGACACGTCAGCGCCAAACTGCAAGTATATCCTACTTGCATAGAACCAGCTAGCATAAATGCATTATGGAGAGGAAAGCCTGCCAATCAAGTTTATCAGTATCTCTGCAAAGCCACAATGAGGCTCCACTCCCGCACTTACGAAAACTAGGGAAAAGTTTTGTCTGGCAACAACTTTGCAAAAGGAATTAGTTTGTGACATACTGACTCTATCTTAACACAAATAGAAAACCTTTTTATTCCCTTTGACCTTTAAACCCCAAATCACATTTTCTCAAGCAGGAAGGAAAATGGGTTTATCAAGCCAGCCCTGAAAGAGAGAGAGGGTAGACTCTTCAAGATGCATCTTCCCAAGTGTATGTTAATAACTGCCAGTGTTACTACCGAAACACAAGCTTCAACCATACAAATGGCACTTCACTAGAATGAAATGTGATGTATTTCTTCAGATACTCCACTATCCTAAAGTTAGTTTACAAGAGTTCAATGGCAGAGTATTTCACTGACTGGCTTCCAACCCTTTCAGGACACAGTCCTCCTCTGAACACTCCTCAATTACTAAATGTTAGGTACTTAAGAGACAGCTGAAAGCAACTTCGAACTCTAAAAAAGATAGCACAAATTTTAATGTCACAGTTAAATCAAACCTTATGCAGTATTCTTATCAAAAATACACTGCTTGAATCTCAGAATGAAGTAACCTGTACAAACTGACTATATGTCGTTCTACAAGATAAACTACCTCATAAAACGTCAACTTCATGAAGTATTTTTTTAAGGTGAGGGAGGGGCCTGTTCTAGACTGAGATAAATAAGTATCATGTGGTCTTGAAGATACACCAGACAAAGGGGGAAGGGAGCTGCATTATTAGAACAAATGAATTCTCTTTTGTTGTTGCTTGTTCTTTGGTTTGGTTTGGTTTTCCTGTACACAGAGAGCCCTGGCTGTCCTGGAACTCACGCTGTAGACCAGGCTGGCCCTGAACTCAAGCGATCCACCTGCCTCTGCCTCTAGAATGCTGGGATTAAAGGCGTGCGCCACCACGCCCAACTAGAACACATGGAATTTTAATAACCAACTGTGCCAACTAATCAATGAATATTGATGGGCATTCAATGTATTACTGTAACTTTTCTGGATGCATGAAATATTTCCAAAAAAAATTAATTTTAAATATCCAAATGCATAAGACATCAATATGCAGTGGTTCCAATACTTAGAGACAGCATTGTTCTATATGCATCCCTATGAAAGAAGCCAAATTCTTTTACCAAAAAATCATGAGTAACAACTTCCCTTTTCCTTCAAATGATTTTAGCATAAAGAACAAAATACTGTGATCTTTTTCTTAAAGTTTATGAGTTCGAGAATGTTAAGAACAGCAAAACCACTACGATCATCTGATTACGAGTTCCTGACTGCATAAGGAAATTTACCACTTCAAGTACACTACTACTTGGGAAGCGATCTCGACATAAAAATGCCAATTAAGAACTGAATCTTAAACACACATACGCAGTAACGATACTTCTGCACTGACTTATACTTTTTGAAGGGTTTGAGCCAGTGTGACCTTCTAGGAGGAAAATTCAGGCTGCTGCCCAAAGGAGGTATTGACGTGATCGTTTAAGATCGTAGATATGGGCTCGGTTAGAAAAACCAAAAAGATGGTAAATGTCTGATCGCCCCGGGGAACAAAAATAGCCCTGATTTCATGCTGTCAACGGCACTCTCATCAGCACTAGCACCCTGACACTAAGACCCTGAGGTCTGGGCCGTTGCGGGCGTTCTCCACGATTTCTCCCAGTGCAAAAACGTTATGAGCCTTTGCCATGAGGGCTGCGGCGGGCCCACCTGCGGCCATCTTAAGTTCGGGGGCGGGGGGGGGGGGGGGCGGACCTAAAGGGCTGGGGGCCCCCAATTCGAAGCCCGGACCTCAACCGCAGTCCCGGAGGCTCGAAAGAGGAAGCCCCTCCTAAGTCCTTCGCAGGCACTGCGCGGAGAGGTTAATCAACAAAATCCCGACGCGGAGAGCCGGGCAACCGGCCGGGTGCCCTCATCAAACATGGCCGCCTAGGTAGAGCCCGCGGTCACGTGACGCCCGCGCTTTCCCCCCCCCAGGCCTCGGCGCCCGAGGTCTCGATGGCGGCGCGCCCCTCCCCCCTCCCCCTCCCCTCCCCCCCCCCCCCGCCCCGCTCCCGCCCGGGCTCCAGCACTCACTCTGGGGGGTAGAGCCGCAGCTCCTCGATATCTCCTAGGAAGGAAAAGAGCGTCCGCATCTGCTCGCTGGTCACCGCCGACGAGAGGTTCGTCACCTGAATCACCGCCGTGGGGAAGAGGCCGAAGCCTAAGCCCAAACCGAAGCCGCCGCCGCTGTTCATCCCGGCCCCGCTGCCGCTGCCTTCCCGCTCCCCCAACGTCCACGACGCGTCAGCGACGGAGCCTGGGAAGCGAGGGCGCGCGGCCGCGAGCGCGCTCCCGCGGGCTAATTCGCAGCGGCGCCGGGCGCGTCTAGCCGCCCACCGCGCAACTCGCCTGCTCTGGGGGGGCTGCGCGCGCCGGCCGGAAGTGTCGCCCTGGCAACGCGGCGGCTCCCGCGGGACCCGGCGGCCTGGGCCTCCGGGCCTGGTCGCGGCGGCTGTTGCTAAGCTTTCCGGGGTCTTCAGAGATGTGTCCCCGGCTGCTGCGGGCCGAGCGGCGGAGGTTGTGTCCCCCGCCCCACCCCCAACTCCATCACCACTTCTCTGCGCTTCGGTCGTCGTGGGAAGCCCGGCTCTTTCTGGTCAGCTCGGAAAACGGAGGAGGAATCAGGAGGCCAGGGCTGCAGTGGGGAAAGGGCAATAACGTCTGGACAGTATAAACTGTAGCTTGATTAATACAAGCTGCTGCCCCGCTTAACCTGTTTTTAAAACTGGCCTGCACCCTGATTGTGAGAACTCTTGGAAATTTCCACACCAAGTGTGGAGGTGCCGAGTGAAATGAAATGAGTAAATGAAAGTCTCCGCGGTCATTGTGTATAACATGCAATCGACTCACTAGCTGGCCTTAATATTTATACTGTTAGACAGAGTCACTTGCGGTCCACAGACGGTTCACACAGAACTTGCACCTTAATATGGCACAACAGTACTCAACCAGAGCAGCTATATCCAAAGTGCATGGTTCTGGAGTCCATCCCTGTGGGCCCAAATATCAAAACATACACTGTTATTAAGACTGCGTTGCCCTTTTCACATTAACATTTGTACTGATGGTCTAAGAGCAATAGTAGGCTGAGGGTGTAGTTATGTTGGTAAATGTTCACCTTGTGTACTTGAAAGCCCAGTGTTGATTCTATAAACCTGAAACTGCCATAAACCTGTGATGTCAGCACTGGGGAGGCGAAGGCAGGATGATCAGAAATTCAAGGTCATCCATGACTACAAAGCAAGTTAAGGCTAGACTGGGTGGGCTACATGAGATTCTGCCAATAAATGCATGGATGGATGGGTGGATGGATGGATGTAAAAGGGCTGATACCTGATCAGGAAGCAAGGCAGTGTTTCTAAACTCTGAGGTCTGTATTTTATATTCTGCACCTCTATCCACTCACACGACATTGATTGTAAATTTAAAGTAAGTTCCTTGTAAAGGAATGCAACATTGATTTTTGTGAAATACACCAACTACCGGCCTTGAATTCGTAGAGATACACCTGTCTCCCAAGTCCTTGGGATTAAAGGTGTGTGCCACCGTGGACCTGGCCACATAATTTTTTTTTTTTAATTATCAATATAAAACAAAGAAGAGCAAGAACTTCTGTACAGGTAAAGCATTTGTCTCCAGCAAAACACACTGTATTATTGTTGGAGATTTCAAACGAAATACAAGGTTTACTGGACTTGCATATTCCACCTTGAACTTGCAGTTTGCCGGTATTTAAACTCACCAAAACTTGTTTTCTGACTCAGCACATGTCATGAAGAATGCTCTTTGTGACTTGAAAAGAATGTGTCTTCTGCAGTCAGAGTGTTAGGTCACTATCCCAGTTCGCCCTTCCAATGCTGTTGCAAACACCGTGACCTGAAGCAGCTTAGAGAGGAATGGTTTACTTGACGTCTGGATCACAGTCCATCACTGAAGCAACTCAGAGCCGGAGGTCAAGCAGGAGCAGACAGGAACCATGGGAACTCCGGCTTGTTCACAGGCTCATGGTTCAGTTACCTCTCTTACACATCCCAAGCCCACCTGCCCAGGGATGGTACTGCCCGCAGTGGACTGAGCCCTCCCTTATCAATTCGCAATAAAGAAAATACCCACAAATATGCCCATAGTTTCAATCTGGTTGAAGTAATTCCTTAATTAAGGCTCCCTCTTCCCAGGTGTGTCATATTGAAAACCAAAATTAGCCCTCCGGTCACTTAGGTCAAGCTGGTTGATAATATTGCTCAAGACTTGTTTCCTTGTGGGGGATGCTCTATAGGACCCTAGACTAAAGACACTGCCCATGCTGTTAAAGCATGGTGGAATGTAACCATGTGCACTGGAGCTTCTGAAGAAACTGTACATTACACAAGGAGTGCCCCCGTAAGTAGAAGCCCACCAGATTTTGGGGGGGGGGGGGGGTAGGGGATGGGATTCTCTAGCACCCTCTGTTGACAGTGTTTAATATTGCACCACCAGACATTCATTTGCAGTGCTGAAAATCAAGGGTAAATTTGGGAAAGCAACTAAATTTGTCTCCTTTACAGTATGTGACCATTAATGTCTCTCTGTAGTTGTTTAAAATTCTTACGTTGGGGGCTGGAGAGATGGCTCAGTGGTTAAGAGCACTGGCTGCTTTTCCAGAGGTCCTGGGTTCAAGTTCCAGCACCCACATGGCAGCTCACAACTGTCTATAACTCCTGTTCCAGGGGATCCGACACGCTCACACAGACATATATGCAGGCAAAACACCAATGTACATAAAATACAAATAAGTAAATTATTTAAAAAAATTCTTATGTTGGGTGCTGGAGAGGTGGCTTAGCAGTTAAGCACTGCTCTTTCAGAAGACCTGAGTTAGATACCCGGCACCCATGTCAAGAGGCTCATAACCTCCTGTAACTCCAGCTGCATTGCCCATGGATGGATGGGACACTGAGAAGCCTAGCAGCTTTCAAGTCTGCCCCAAGGGTAACTGGTTTTAAGGTTTGCCTGCATGCATGGCTGTAACATATGCATGCCTGGTGTCCTCAGAGGCCAGAGTTGCATTCAATCCCCAGCACAACAACCACCAAAATAAAAACATAAGCCAATAACCAAGTGCTTTGTTGTTCCTGCTGCTGTGACAAAATACTCTTGACAAATAAACTGGAAGGAAGGAAGGAAGGAAGGAAGGAAGGAAGGAAGGAAGGAAGGAAGGAAGGAAGGATTTATTTCAGGTCACGTTTCCAGATTACAGTCCATGGTCATGGGGACTTCACACCAGTAGATATGTGAGCAGCTGGTCTCCTTACACTTGCAATCCAGAAGCAGAGAGAGATGAGTTCCTGTGCTCACTTTCTCCTCTTTATACAGTCCAGGATCCCAGCCCAGGGAATGCTGCCACCCACAGTAGGCATGTCTTTCCAAGGAGTTAACCTAGGCATGGGAGTCCTCCACAGGCATGCCCAGAGGTCTGTGTCCCGGGTCATTCCATATCTCATACATTGAAATTAGTCATCACACAGAGGATACCTAGTTTTAAAACATTTCAGTTTAATTCAGGTGTATTGTTTATTCAAAAAGCAAAGGAGGAAAAACAACATAATTTAAAAAGTATAGGAATTAAGAATACTGGGAGTCACCCCTCCCCAAGTGCTTGGGATTGAACTCAGGACCTCTCTCATGTTAAGCTAGTGCTCTACCACTGAGCCACACCCCAAAAATGATTTTTAATTTACAATAAGGACCTTAACTATATTATGTGATTTCCTTAAAAACCTCACTGTTTTTGCTGGTATAGGGAAAATGAGTTGATGGTGGGTATATCAATCACAATCCAAGGCAGTACCCATGACCAGGAGTAGGTACCCAACACTAAAAGGATTCTGTGCCTTTGTGTGTGCACTTTTTTGCATTATTGTTTGTTTTGATTTTTGTTTTTTACCTGAGAGAGAAGAAAAAGCATGAAGTTGGGTGAGTAGGGAAGTAGGGAGGATCTGGGGAAGGAATAGAATATGATCAAAATATAATTGTGTGAAAAAATTAATTATCAAGTAAAATCCAAGCTTCTTATATATACATACATTGAATTAGGCAAAACACGTGATAGCTTTGGTGAGGGAATCTCTGTATCAAGTGAGGTGAGTCTTGCAGGTACCTGAGCAGGTCTTTTTCTCTGCCTGTCTGTGTGTATTTGTTGTGTATTGCTTTTAAAAATGTTTTACTATTATTTTATGTGTGTATAGGTGTCTTGCCTGCATGGATGTTTGTGCACCACATGTGTGCCCCATGCCCCCCCCCAAGGGGGTGGGGTGTTGGAGTGGTGGAGAAAAGGCCATTGAATCTCTGGGAACTGGAGTTACAGATGTTTGCCAGCTGTCATGAGGGTTCTGGAAACTGAACACTACTCCTCTGCAAGAGCAGCCCTTGCTCTTAGCCACCCAGCATCTCTCTAGTCCTGTTTTGCTTTTTGAAGTGGAAACTGGCTAGTTTCAAAACTCTAGACCCTCTCCTTCAACCTACTCAGTACTGAGACTCAGTGCTGGGACTCAGTGCTGGAACTTTTTAACGGGACTCACTACTGGGACTCTACCACTAGGACCCAGTGCTGGGACTCAGCACTGGGACTCCATGCAAGCACTACCACCCTTGCTAGTAACTTGGTTTTGAATTATAGAATATGAATTTAAAAAATAATTGGCAAAATAAATTCCATGTGCTCGTTTCCCTTTGTAATATAAGGAAATAGAAACTATCCAACAATTCAGAATTAAGGTCCTCTGCCTTTAAAGGTAAGAATATACTTGAAGGAAACTGGGCGTGGTGGCACACACCTTTAGTCCCAGCACTTGGGAGGCAGAAGCAGGCAGATCTCTGTGAGTTCGAGGCTAGCCTGGTCTACAAAGTGAGTTCCAGAACAGCCAGGGCTGTTACACAGAGAAACCCTGTCTCAAAAGCAAAATAAAAAGGTAATATATCCTTAATATTCAGAAAATATACAGAAGCATAAAACAATTCATTTACTATCAGTCATTCAGAAGACCACTAACTGTATGGTGTGCATACAGCATATGTTTTGTATAAATGTATACATTTTTTTTTCAAAATGACACTATGCCAGCCCCTAGGTTGAGTTTTATATTTCTTCAATTCTGTTTTTCTTGCTTTTTCCATATTTTCCTAAAGTATATCCTTAAGTGTCTTTCTAAAAGGATTTATGTGACTAAAAGTCCTGAGTCTGTATATCCCAAAATGGTCACTGTTGTGGAATATTTGTACACTGTGTGAAAATGTATTTGCTGTGATTGGTGTAATAAAAAGCTGACTGGCCAATAGCTAGGCAGGAGGTATAGGTGGGATTTCTGGACAGAGAGAGAAAGGAAGAGGAGGAGGATCAAGGCACATAGGATAAGCCAGGAGACACTGAGAGGAAACAGGAGGTGCAAGATGGAAGAGGGGAACACCACATAACAGAACATCGATTAATATAAATGGGTTAATTTAAGTTATAAGAGCTACTTAGGAACAAGCCTAAGCTATAGGCCAAGCTTCCATAATTGATAAGAAGTCTCCATGTTGTTTTTTGTGAGCTGGTGGCCCAAAGAAAAATCCATCTACATGTCACCTGGGTAGCAATAGGAAACATGCAAAGGGATTTGTCCTCTAGAACTCAACATTACTAACAGTTAAAACCTCCAAGGGGCTGCCTCAGCTGGTGAAATACCTGCTGTACCAGTATGAGATCTCAGTTCGTATCTCCAATGCCCATGTAAAAAGCCAGGCTTGGGGCCAGTGAGATGGCTCAGAAGACGAAAATGCTCTTGCTGTTTGAGCCTGATGAATTGTCTTCAATCCCCAGAAACCATATGAAAGGGAAAAACCTACTCCTGGAAGCAATCGAGGGGTCAGTTCCAGGGTCCAGTTCCTGAGTTCCAGGGTCAGTGAGAAACCCTGTCTCAAAAATAAGGTGAAGAGTAATTGGGAAAAACACCCAGCTTTGACCTCTGACTTTCACACAGATGTACATATGTATACACACATCCACATACTCATGCATGCACTTACACAGATAAAATAAAAATATCAGTCATATATCCATCCATAGTATCAGTATTTTTTCTTCTCTACGAGTCTTTAAATTTCACTAGAAAAACCAGCTCGTCTCTTTTTTTCCTTCCTTTCTCCTTCCTCCCACTCCCTCCTCCTCATTCACCTCTCTCCTCTCTCTCCTCTCTCTCTCTCTCTCTCTCTCTCTCTCTCTCTCTCTCTCTCTCTCTCTTTCCTCCCTCACTCTCTTGCTGTCTCTCATTTTGGGATGGGAAGAAGGAAAGAAAAGATTTTTAAGTACAATTTATTTAATAATTTACTATTCATAGAATATCTCAGGTTTCACGTTTCTTCTTGACCCAGTATAACTAAGTTGGGGGAGCAACCACTCAGGAGATAGCCAAGGAGAAAGCACTTGAAATGCAAGCATGAGGTCCTGATTTAAAATCACCAGAACCTGTGTTTAAAAAGCCAGGCAGGTGTGTGCATGCTTGCAACCCTGGTGCTATGCAGATTTGGAGATAAGAGGATCACTGGACTTAGCTGACAACCTAGCTCCAGGTTTAGTGAGAAATTTTATCTTAAGGGAATGAGGTGGAAAGTGATAAAGCAGGACACCTGATGTCCTCCTCTGGACCGCGCGCACACACACACACACACACACACACACACACACACACACACACACACACACACATCTGTGTGTTTGTATGAGAATGCCTCCATATACTTAGTCCCTAGCTGATGGGACAGTATAGGAAGGGTTAGGAGATGTGTCCTTGTTGGAGAAGACTGGTCACTGGCGGTGGGCTTTGAGGTTTCAAAAGCCCACACCATTCTCACCTAACATCCCCGTCCCCACCTTGTGCTTGTGGATCAAGATGTGAGCTCGCAGCACTCGGGAGGCAGAGCCAGGCGGATCTCTGTGAGTTCGAGGCCAGCCTGGGCTACCAAGTGAGTTCCAGGAAAAGGCGCAAAGCTACACAGAAAAACCCTGTCTCGAAAAACAAAACAAACAAACAAAAAAAAGATGTGAGCTCGCAGCTATGGCTCTAGTGTCCTGCCTGCCTGCCTGCTGCCATGCTTCTCAATCGTTGTGATCATGGACTAACCCTCTGTGACTGTGAGCCCCAAATTAAATGCTTGCTTTTGTGAGTTGCCTTGGTCATAGTGTTTTATCACAGCAATAAAAAAGTAGCAAAGACAGAAGTGCATGTATTTGCATGTGTGTGCATATGTGTTTCAAGAATTTAAAGTCGGGCGGTGGTGGCGCACGCCTTTAATCCCAGCACTCGGGAGGCAGAGCCAGGCTGATCTCTGTGAGTTCGAGGCCAGCCTGGGCTACCAAGTGAGTT